TCGACAGATCTCCGAAGCCCGGAGTAATAACCGGTCCGCCTTCCTCGATCGCTCCACTGGTTTCCCCTATTTGCTTCCAATGCAGAGTCTTCACTTGCGTATCTTCGATACATCGACCTCTCCAGTCGATCTGCGGCTGTGTATCCTCAAGGAATGGGATTCCAAGGATGCAGTCGAACTCGTCGGGTATAGCGTAGACGACAGCGATACACTTGTATGCCTCGCCCAACCCAGACACCAGGATTTGGAGGGGAAGTACCTCCAGTTCCGTCTCGACAATCTGGTTGTCTCCAAGTTTCACACGAATGTTCCTACCAATGAACTTCGTGGCCTTGAGCCGATGTTTCTTGACCCACTGTCTGGACACGTAGATTGTGGTTGCTCCACAGTCCAACAGCATCCTTTGGGTCGAAATGGTCGCGCCACTAACGATGATTTCCCCCTCTACGAAGAACAGTGGACGCGACATGTAGACGAGAGGGTTTTCGCTCAGAACGTTAAGGCTGACATTCTCAAACTTAACTGATCCGGCTACGCTCTCTTCCACGACAGGACCCTCATTCACTGATGTGGCTGCCCGTTTCCCTGCTTCTCTTGCTCCTTCTTCCAAAGAAAGCAGTTGGTCTTGATGTGGCCAGTTTTCTTGCAGTGGAAACAGGTACGACCTTCGGCTCGTTTCGAGCTAGTCTTCGCCTTGAAACGCCCTTTACCATGGTATGTTTTTCCCTTGAACAACTTGTCGTGACTCGGCGCGTTATCAGTGGATGGCTTCCGCTTGTCTTGGCGAATGTGACGTTCGCGCGACTCGTCGACGAAGTGTGTCACCTCATACTTGACAGCAAGATCCATTGCGTGGCTCAGGGTCGCTGGGTTCTCGAGCTTGACATAGCTACGCGTGCGCGGCTTGAGACCGTTCGCGTAGTATAGTACTTGGTCAAGCACGCTCATTCCTTCAACTCTAAAGATCAAGGCTGAATACTCGCCGTTGTAGGTCTCGATGTCCGCTGTCTGCTTGAGGCGTTGAAGCTTCTCGCGCAGGACAGACTGGTAATTTGACGCTTCGAAGTGTTGGAGCACATGCTCACGGAAAATCCCCCACGTGTGCTCCTCCGCTCGAGCTGTCGACGACCAGTGCAGGAACCATCCGGATGCCGACTTTTCCATTGCCGATCCGGCAACTCCAGGAAGACGCGCGCTCGTGTCTTCAACTGGAATGTTGTTGATGCGGCAGGCGTTCTTGATTTGG